TGACCTGACCACCTCCACGATGGCTGATACATATTGAGCCATTACCTCTCGTGTGAACCTGTGTGATAAGGGTCGTTAGTACTGCTGACCTGACCTGACCACCTCCACGATGGCCGATACATATAGAGCCATACCTCCGTGTGAACCTGTGTGATAAGGGTCGTTAGTACTGCTCTGCTGACCTGACCTGACCTAGCAACACAACATAAACTAATGAAACTTAACTTACCCTCCAAACTAACTAATGTCAACCAACCTCACATAATGTTCAACAATAACATCAACTTACGTTCTTCTCTTAGCCGCTGCGTCTATACAACCAAGATGGAACGTCAGAGGTAACAGCCCCATGAACCCGAGGTAGAGTTTGTCGTAGAACTCTGGAGGCGGCTACACTCTTCACAGGCGCTGTAGTTGTTACGTCTCAGGCCCTCTCGCACGCCCACACGCCGACCACGAGCCATTAACTAACCTCGTGCGACGCAGTAACGACCAGGGCAGTTTGATAGGCTGGTCACGACTCCTGGAATGACACGTATCATTAATAAATAAGAACAGAACCGAACCTAACATAAACCTAACACCTAACCTACCTAACATAAACCTAACCTACCTAACATAAACCTAACCTCCTAACTAAGCCTAACCTAACCTAACCTAACCTAACCTACCTACCAACCTCCTAACCTAGCCTAACCTCCTAACATAAACCTAACCTCTAACATAAGCTAACCTAACCTAAACCTAACCTAACCAAGCCTAACCTAACCTAACTAACCTAACATAAACCTAATTTCTTAACCTAACCCTAACCTTTAATATTAGAGTTACTTTATAGTTTATGGTCAGACTTTCATAGCTGCAGAACTTGTCCAAGATGAGGACGTGTAGGCGATGTCTGTGTGACATAAATAACACAGATATTTAGTGAGATACAACCATTTAAAACATACAGGTTATCTACAGGCTACAGATATCTACAGGCTGGGTTATCTACAGGTTACCTACAGGCTACAGGTTATCTACAGGCTATAGGTGTCTACAGGCTATAGGTGTCTACAGGCTACAGATACCTATAGGGGCCTACAGGTGTCTACAGGCTGGGTGTCTACAGGCTACAGATACCTATAGGGGTCTACAGGCTACAGGTGTCTACAGGTTATCTACAGGCTACAGGTGTCTACAGGTATCTACAGGTATCTACAGGCTACAGGTATCTACAGGCTACAGGTTACCTACAGGCTACAGGTTACCTACAGGCTACAGGTGTCTACAGGTGTCTACAGGCTACAGAGTGTCAACAGGTGTCTACAGGCTACAGGTGTCAACAGGTTATCTACAGGCTACAGGTGTCTACAGGTTATCTACAGGCTACAGGTGTCAACAGGTTATCTACAGGCTGGGTTGTCTACAGGTTGCCTACAGGCTACAGGTTATCTACAGGCCTTAGATTGTCTACAGGCTATAGGTGTCTACAGGCTACAGATACCTATAGGGGCCTACAGGTGTCTACAGGCTACCGGTGTCTACAGGCTGCAGATCACCATAGGGGTCTACAGGCTACAGGTGTCTACAGGTTATCTACAGGCTACAGGTGTCTACAGGTATCCTACAGGCTACAGGTGTCTACAGGGTTACAGGCTACAGGTTATCTACAGGCTACAGGTGTCTACTACAGGTTACAGGCTGGGGTTATCTACAGGCTACAGGTGTCTACAGGTTACAGGCTACAGGTTATCTACAGGCTACAGGTGTCTACAGGTTACAGGCTACAGTTATCTAGGCTATAGGTGTCTACAGGCTACAGGATTGTCTACAGGCTGAGTACCTATAGGGGCCTACAAGGTGTCTACAGGCTACAGGTGTCTACAGGTACAGGTGCCCATAGGGGTCACACTCTACAGGCTACAGGTGTCTACAGGTTATCCTACAGGCTGGGGTAGTCTACAGGTATCTACAGGCTACAGGTGTCACCACAGGTTACAGGCTACAGGTTATCTACAGGCTACAGGTGTCTACAGGGTTACAGGCTACAGGTTATCTCCACAGGCTACAGGTGTCTACAGGCAGGTATGCAGGTGTCTACAGGCTACAGGTGTCTACAGGTTACAGGCTACAGGTTATCTACAGGCTACAGGTGTCTACAGGTATCTGGAGGTGTCACCACCCAGGCTACAGGTGTCTCCACAGGTTACAGGCTACAGGTTATCTACTACAGGCTACAGGTGTCTCACAGGTTACAGGCTACAGGTTATCTACAGGCTACAGGTTATCTACAGGCTACAGGTTAGCCTACAGGCTACCTACAGGCTACAGGCTACCTACAGGCTACAGGTTACCTACAGGCTATCCACCTCACCTTTCTCATAATAGAAGCCTTTAGTCTCCCTCAAGGCCACCACCCCGCCCACCACACTCACTAACACCAATATAACCAAACTGTTGCCCCCAGACATATTATATCTGGCCTTAATTAACCTTAACACCGTCCTAGTGACACACAGTCAGCCATATTGTCAACAACACCTACTACTATGTTGGTTCTCTTACCCCGGACGGTTGTGTAGTTGGTATGTTATTTAGATATTTTATATGTGTTATAGTGTTATTTAAATTTATTGTAATAAATAATTTAATGTTTTATTTTGATTTTTATTTGGTTTTAATGTTTAATTTATAATATAATTGATTTAAAAATTTGTTTGTGGTATTTATTGTACATTAATATTCTCAGGTGATGTTTTAGCCAATCAGCATTCATCTCTTTTCTTCTTCTGACCAATCACAAGCCGTTCTTTATATGTGAGTGATCATACGTATAAGTTTATTTACAAATTATCAGCAACAAATAAATTAATTATATTTATTTCTAAACAAATAATCATTAAATTATATAATAATTTTATTAAGACGATATATAATATTATCTGTATCTAATTACTAGTAAGATTTTATTAATTTTTATGCTTTTAACAGAGTACCTAGATTTATATATTTAACTCTAACAACTGCACTTATTACTTTATATTACTTATTACTTATTATTTAACTTTATTTTTCTTCATACATACTTACCTGGGTCAGGCCATGGGTGGTGGACTGTGGTAGCATGGCTCGAGGGTCAGGCCATGGGTGGACCTGTGGTAGCATGACTCGAGGGTCAGGCCCATGGGTGGACCTGTGGTAGCATGACTCGGTCAGGCCCATGGGTGGACCTGTGGTAGCATGACTCGAGGGGTCAGGCATGGGTGGACCTGTGGTACATGACTCGAGGGTCAGGCCCATGGGTGGACCTGGTAGCATGGCTCGAGGGGTCAGGCCCATGGGTGGACCTGTGGTAGCATGACTCGAGGGTCAGGCCCATGGGTGGACCTGTGGTAGCATGACTCAGGGGGTCAGGCCCATGGGTGGACCTGTGTGCATGACTCAGGGGTCAGGCCCATGGGTGGACCTGTGGTAGCATGACTCGAGGGGTCAGGCCCATGGGTGGACCTGTGGTAGCATGACTCGAGGGGTCAGGCCCATGGGTGGACCTGTGGTAGCATGACTCGGGGTCAGGCCCATGGGTGGACCTGTGGTAGCATGACTCGAGGGGTCCAGTGGGTGCTGTTGTAGCATGACTCGAGGGGTCAGGCCCATGGGTTGGACCTGTGGTAGCATGACTCGAGGGGTCAGGCCCATGGGTGGACCTGTGGTAGCTCGAGGGTCAGGCCCATGGGTGGACTGGTAGCATGACTGGGGTCAGGCCATGGGTGGACCTGTGGTAGCATGACTCGAGGGTCAGGCCCATGGGTGGACCTGTGGTAGCATGACTCGGGGTCAGGCCATGGGTGGACCTGTGTGCATGACTCGAGGGGTCAGGCCCATGGGTGGACCTGTGGTAGCATGGCTCAGGGGTCAGGCCCATGGGTGGACCTGTGGTAGCATGACTCAGTCAGGCCATGGGTGGACCTGTGTGCATGACTCGAGGGGTCAGGCCATGGGTGGACCTGTGGTAGCATGACTCGAGGGGTCAGGCCCATGGGTGGACCTGTGGTACATGACTCGAGGGGTCAGGCCCATGGGTGGACCTGTTGTAGCATGACTCGAGGGGTCAGGCCCATGGGTGGACCTGTGGTAGCATGACTCGAGGGGTCAGGCCCATGGGTGGACCTGTGGTAGCATGGCTCGAGGGGTCAGGCCCATGGGTGGACCTGTGGTAGCATGACTCGAGGGGTCAGGCCCATGAGATAGATAACCCATGTTGAACTATACAAGAATTAAATCAAATTTCACGTGATATAAAAAAATACCATAAATTTCTGATGATAAATTTGTTATATTTTTTTCGTTAATAAAAAATATATATAACAAAATCTTTATTGTGGTCGAGGAAATATTTTAACATTTACTCCATTTTCTTGTTTACAACTTCCTTTATTTCACATCGCTGCCGAGATGTCTTTGTTAATTGTTTTGTTAATTATAATATTATATGAAATGTATTTATAGATGTTAGGTAATATATTATCGTATATAATTTAATGATAAGTATATAATTATTGATGCTTTACAATACTTAATTAAATTTGAATTCGTTTTGACTCCATGTTGTCTTTATTAATTACAATTATTTATTTTTCAATATTAATATTAATTACAGTAATAATATATTTTAGCATTTACATATAATTAATTCACCTTTTAAAATTAGATATAATAATATAGTCATCAAGACATCACAGAGGAGTTAGATGTCTTCACTTGTATTATAACGGAAGAGTTTGTTTACGTGGTGAGGTGCGTCTCAGCTGACCATCAAAGGCGTCAATGTTAAAATATATCCCCAACACCATATAATAATACCGATTAACTTAAAATAATCAACAAATTAACCTTAATTAACACTTAAAAAATTAACAATAATATCAATAAACTATTTTACATAATTTAACATTAATTAAATAAACTTTTAACTCTTTAAATACAAAGTTAACCAGACATACCGTTCGTGGTAATTCCATAAACATTACCACCGCCCAGGAGAGGAACACAGGTCAGATCATCATACATTAAGGTCAGTTATTTAACCCTAATGAGGTCATTATACTCTACCACATCATGTCATCCAGTTAATGAGGTCATTATACTCTACCACATCATGTCATCCAGTTAATGAGGTCATAATACTCTACCACATCATGTCATCCAGTTAATGAGGTCATTATACTCTACCACATCATGTCATCCAGTTAATGAGGTCATTATACTCTACCACATCATGTCATCCAGTTAATGAGGTCATAATACTCTACCACATCATGTCATCCAGTTAATGAGGTCATTATACTCTACCACATCATGTCATCCAGTTAATGAGGTCATAATACTCTACCACATCATGTCATCCAGTTAATGAGGTCATAATATCATTAATCATGTCATCCAGTTAATGAGGTCATAATACTCTACCACATCATGTCATCCAGTTAATGAGGTCATAATACTCTACCACATCATGTCATCCAGTTAATGAGGTCATTATACTCTACCACATCATGTTATCCAGTTAATGAGGTCATTATACTCTACCACATCATGTCATCCAGTTAATGAGGTCATAATACTCTACCACATCATGTCATCCAGTTAATGAGGTCATTATACTCTACCACATCATGTCATCCATTTAATGAGGTCATAATACTCTACCACATCATGTCATCCAGTTAATGAGGTCATAATACTCTACCACATCATGTCATCCAGTTAATGAGGTCATAATACTCTACCACATCATGTCTTAACCCCTTGAGTATGATGATTTAACCCCTTGAGTATGATGATTTAACCCCTTGACTATGATGACTTAACCCCTTGAGTATGATGATTTAACCCCTTGAGTATGATGATTTAACCCCTTTGAGTATAATGACTTAACCCCTTGAGTATAATGACTTAACCCCTTGAGTATAATGACTGTATTAACACACACACACAACACATCTGGGTGACTGTCTAGCATTACCCAGACAATGACTTCAGTGTATAATGAGAGCTATTTTCCGTACAGTAAATATGTCATTGTATTTTATAATATGGATTAATTTTATTATTTATCACAAAGAAATGAGTTAACTCCTTCCACCAACTAAATATTCCGGTACGTTCGTTAAGAATGCCATTACATTACTACTGGTGGCTGATATGGTAACACAAGACTTAAGTTGTGCTCAGAATAATGTAATAAATTAGAATTTTTTACCTGAATGGCACCAAAAGGAGACAAAATTCAGATACCTTTAAGATAAAACAGTTTATTCTTTTAATATTAACATTATAATTCTATATTTATTTCTTCGTATTATTTGTATCATACTTAAATAAACTTTATGTGTCTGTTAAAAGTGTATTCTTGTAGTGGAGGTTAATTTATCTTGTACCAGCTAAGTCAAAGTGTGTTATTGTGGGGGTGAACATTTCTCATGAACGCACAACAGTCTGGAACAAATTCTCCATCTAACGTGAACAAATCTGAACTCTAGAATTTGTTCCTAGCCGTGATTACGTAGTGGAACGCTGGTATTATTCAAAGGTATTATTCAAGTACTGTATACGGCTGCTCCCCGACTTACGACGGGGTTAGGGACCCAAATCCAGGTTGTAAGTCGAAAATGCTTAAATAATACATAGAAAATCTAAAATGGGTGTCTCTTTTTCTTCTCAGCACCACAAAACTCTCACTTTTAAGCTGGCCAGCCATTTTAAAGTGAATTACAAACGAAAATCTTGTCTGTGTACTGACGTTGGGACTCGAAAATAGTAATTTGACAAAATTTTGGTACGACTGAGGCGGGTTGTAAGTGCGGGTGGTCGTAAGTCGGGGAGGAGCAGTACTGGTAATAGAATTTACAAAACATTAAATATAAACTAAATACAAGTACAGTACAGTACTGTACTGTACTGTACTGTACTGTACTGTACTGTACTGTATAATAATAAATAAAAAACAATAGAATACTGTATTTTAACTTACTCTGAGGTGTTGTATTACCGGCAGCTTTGTTTACATATCAAACGGCTGATTATAGAGGCAGTCGATGATGACGTGCCATATTCTTCACAGAGTCCATTGGTTCTAAAGCCTTCTTCATGTTTCATAATAATCTCTGTACTGTATATTATCAATATGTTCACTAAATTTCAGAATGACCAATAATTTTAATATAAAAAATGCAGAAATATTCAAGAGACCAAGTTTCTTGATATTTACTTCACTGGAAACGAATATAAACATAGAACCATTTACTGTATTGGCGGACCGGCCAATCAGCTGATGCGCACAACAATACGTGTTTCTCGTGAGGATTTCGTTAATCGAACTGAAAATCCTTATGGAAGCTAATTCGTTAACCAAAATTTCGTTAATTGAATCGTTCGTTAACCGAGGGACCACCGTATATTAGACACTGGGCGACAGGACTTAGGACCAGTGTCGACTATATTTGTTCTTCAGAAATAATCCAATTATACTTTTCACTGTTAGTTTTTCGTCAAAGTAAATTTAATATATATATTTTGAGGAAATCCGAGGAAATTTAACAACCTGATCGAGGAAATTGAGTTTAATAATGCGGAAACACCGAGGAGTTTCCGCACTACAAGAGAGAGGAACATTCTTTAGGGTAATAACACAGTCTTCTAAAATAAGTCAATAATGTTGGCATATAACCCCAACATCCAAGGACTTTATTGTTGGCGTTTGTAACTAATAACGCTAAATTACTGTACGTATATAAATAAATAAACTTACCCATCCATCTCTCATTTTACACGGTAGTTACGTCGTTGAGAATGGCCCAGTAATCCAGACTTAATTACCCCCATAAGAAATAAAGTAAATGGCCGTGCTTAGGGGGAAGCTCTCTTTAAAAACTATAATTTGTTTATTTATTTCAATAAGTTTTACCGATAATAATAATAATAAAAATAGAAAATAAATTTGAAGTGAAATTTGTGGTGATACACTGGATGATGGCTGAGGGTTGAGAAGTGACAGCTTTTGAGATGATACTTGTGTATAGCTGAGGTACAGGTGATGTTACTTAATAGCTGAGGTACAGGTGATGTTACTTTATAGCTGAGGTACAGGTGATGTTACTTGGTATCGTTACATCACAGTACCCAAGGTTGTCCCAGTACTAATAGTGTGTTTCTTTCGTACAGGTACAAGTCGTTCCAAGACTCAGGGGTCACAGATGCCTCCCCTAAAGCCCGTCGAGCGTTTGGAGCGGCTATGTAGTTGGAAAATAGCCAATCACCTGTTTGGGGTCTTCTCCTCTTGGTACACAGACGTGAGTGATGCCTCGGACACCAGTGAAGCCTGTGTGGGTCGTGAGGTGAAGCGTGGGAGAATGAGTGAACTTTGTGGGTCTATGGACGGTGTGTCGAGTGATGGTGAAGTTAAGGATGATTGGTTCATCTCACACCTCAAGTACAGTGACGCTTGTACAGACGACGATGACTCCAGGACTGGGGTGTTGTCCCCGGTCTCTCCCCAGTACCAGACGGTCAATGCCGTCACCCAGTGGCTGGCTCGAGAGGTCAGGGACTTCGTGACGTGGCATTTGGCTCCCAGGTTCCACGAGGATATTTTAGCCACGGTAATAAACGTGATTGCGTCCAGGGTAGAAATCCCCCGATCGAAGGAGAAATTACGGGTATACGAGGAAGATCTGTACTTCCTCAACTCTCTGGGTTTTCTCGTCAGTGTGAGTTTAAAGTGTCTGCTGACCAGAGGCGTCGCATCTCTGGATTTCTCCCACGTGTCGCACTTACTGAAGAGGTGGAAGATGTTGTGTTGGGGGGGGGACACCATCCAGAGGGGCGGCGGCAACCGCGAGAGTCCGTACTTCGACGTGTTCGGCTACGCCTTGGACGTCGGCGTGTCGGGTCTGGGAACGCTCAAGTACATTAAGCTGCCACACTTTGTCCATAACAGTTTTGTGAGGAAGGTCGCGTATCTCTGCCCCAATCTAGAAATTCTGATTTTACGTTGTTCGGCGGACTGTGCCAACCCCAAGCACGACGTACCCGTGGTGACCAACGTGGAGGTCCTCTACGGCGACTCGGTCTCGTGCGCCGACGGCCAGGTGAGAATAATCCCCGGCTGTAAGGACCTGGTGACTCTGGCGTTACCCGAGGGCGTCGAAACTCTGGACGTGACCAACGACGCCATCGAGATGTTGGCGTACATGCCCAACCTGGAGTACCTGGTGGGTGCCCCCATGATCTACGTCACAGAGGAGTTTGAGGAAATATTCGAGACGTTGCCCGGACCGCAGAAGCTGACTAACTTTCACCACGGTGCGTACCCCAAGTCCAACTGGCCGTCGTTTGTCTACGAGGAATCTCTGCAGGAGCCCAACCCAGAGTACCTGTCTAGAGTGTTCTCCCAGGTGAGGGAGGTGGGCATATACGCCCCGACGGAGGTCACGGAGAAGGTGCTCCAGAGCTTCTCCAAGGCTCAGGACGTAACGATATTTACGGACGACTTCGAGGTCCACGGCAAATACCTGAAGAACCTGACGGCGCTGGACATCAACGTCGGGTACCAAGAGGAGTGGCCCATACTCCTCTCCCTCAGCCAGACGTCGCCCAGGCTGGAGCAGTTAACCCTACGGTCGTTCTCTCTGCAGGTGAGCGGTACTCTGGACCACAAACCACGTCTGCCCTTCTTACACACGCTCAAATTCCACGGTCAGAACGTCCTTCAGGCCGAGGCTCTCCTGACGTTCATACACGGCTGTCCCCTCGTCACCACGTTCGTCCTGTCGATGATCACAGACGAGGATGGGGAAGGACAGCTAGATGACGACATCCTCCTTCGGGCGGCTCCTCTCTTACCCAATGTTCAAAAATTTGTTTATAAAGTACAAAGTGCCCTGAGGACCATGGACGGCGTGCCCTGCAGCCTCACCAGCAGGTCGTGTGAGGCCTTACTAGGGGCATGTCCTCAGCTCACCTGCCTGGGCCAGCTTGAGACGTGGAAGTTGACCAGGTCTGACATAAACCTTCTGCAGGAGAAAATTAGGAAGAGGAATTGGGATTTGGAAATTGTATAACAAGTGAGGGGGTTGTGAGTGCGTTACTGTGTTGTACAACCTATCAGAATATTGTACAACCAATCAGAATATTGTACAACCAATCAGAATATTGTACAACCTATCAGAATATTGTACAACCTATCTTAATATAATTTAAAGTGACAATAAAGTTTTTTTCTTTGTATAAAATTAAGTAATTATCCTAAAACATCTCGTCAGGTTTGGTTAAGTTAGGCTAATCTTAGGTTAGGTTTGGTTTGGTTAGGTTAAGTTTGTGTTAGATGCAGTATTATTAGAAGTCAATGGTATAGGCCTATGGTAATTAAAATATAGGTCTATGGCAATAAAGTTTAATATAGGCTTATGTGTGACGGTATAAAATGAACCAAGATAAATATATAAAATAATAAATATGGATGGTGTTATTTTCTGATTTTTACACCATATTTACACCACATATACACCATATTTACACCACATATACACCATATTTACACCACATATACACCACATTTACACCACATATCGTAAACACTAACACACTGGCGGGAAGTTATCATAAGTGTTGGTATTGGGTTAATGTACTGTACAGAGATATAGTTTAGTTAGAGGTTAATATGTCCCGTTTTCTGTGATACTTTTATAGACATGTAATAATATTGATAATACTAATAATTCCTGTACTGTATTATTATTATTATTAGTAGTATTAATTGTACTAGTGGCAGTAGTAATTGTATTAGTAGTAGTATTAATTGTACTTGTAATAGTAGTAACTGTATTAGTAGTATTATTAATTGTACTAGTAGTAGTAGTAGTAATTTTAGTAGCCTTCCTTTGGACGGTGAGATCTTCCAACACAGGACTTCAAACACATCTAATGAAGCCTGTGTTGACGTCAGTGCTCGAGGATTCTGGACGCGGGGACAGCGAGCCTTCTTCGACATCAGGATTTATGGTTCCATGGCCGCATGTCACCGTAACCTAGCTCTCGATGCTGCACACAGGAGGAACGAGAACGACAAGATAAGGGCATATGGGGAGAGAATTCAGAACGTTGATCAAGGCAGATTCACTCCTCTAGTGTTCACAACCTCTGGTGGGATGGGACCAAGTGCAAGATGTTTCTACGCCAGACTCGCGGAGTTGATCTCCGAACAGAAGCAGCAGCCCAGAAGTTATGTCACAGCCTGGATGAGATGTCGACTGTCCTTCTCTCTCCTTCGGTCGGCTTTGCTCTGCCTCAGGGGAACGAGAGCTTCTGCCCCTACTCCGACAACTGCTGCAGATATTGACTATGAGGCTACAGTCACTGAATGCCGCATAGACCTGCGGCTCAACTAATGTAACACAGATAGGATAGTTATTTATGTATTAGGATATTTAATATTAAGGTAATAAAATGGTGGCGAAGGTGTGACTATTGGGGGAGGCTGGAATAGTAGTAGTAGTAGTAGTAGCATTAAATTAAGTAGTAAGAATAAAACAGTAATATTAGTAGTATTGAGTTAAGTTATACAGATTATAATTGGATAAATATGTATATAAACTATACAGGTATACAGCTGAGCAAGAATATAGACTGTGTACATAGGTATACTGTATACATATGACCGTGGGAGTATACTGTGTACCACGACAAGTACACACACACACACACACACACACACACACACACACATTACACGCACGCACACACACACACACACACACACTCAACAGAACATGGCAACACCTTGAATAGTAAGCAAATAAAGATTACTATTGCAAGTATACATTATTCAGCTCGACAAATACAACAGCCATTAGTGACTGGTACAAAATTGGTACAAAATTGACTTTGGGCGATAAAATAGAAGAATGATTGTCGATAACATATACTCGAGGTAAGAATTTTAAAAGAATATAATGTACTTTGACGATTATGCATCTAGAACACATTTACAGAGATTATTGGTAGGTAATGGTACTCGATAATGGTGTGTGGTGGTGGTGTGTGGTGGTGGTAGTGGTGGTGGTGGTGGTGTGTGGTAGTGGTGGTGGTGGTGTGTGGTGGTGTGTGTGGTGGGTGATGGTGGTGTAGTGTGGTGGTGGTGGTGGTGGTGGTGGTGGTGTGTGGTGGTGTGTGGTGGTGGTAGTGGTGGTGGTGTGTGGTGGTGTGGTGGTGTGGTGGTGGTGGTGGTGGTGGTGGTGGGGTGGTGTAGTGGTGGTGGTGGTGGTGGTGGTGGTGTGGTGTAGTGGTGGTGGTGGTGGTGGTGGTGTGTGGTGGTGGTGGTGGTGGTGGTAGTGGGTGGTGGTGTGTGGTGGTGGTGGTGGTAGTGGTGGTGGTCTGGTGGTGGTGAGTGGTGGTGGTGGTGGGTGGTGGTGGTGGTGGTGGTAGTATTGGTGGTGGTGGTAGTGGTGGGTGGTGGTGGTGGTGGTGGTGGTGGTGGTGGTGGTAGTGGTGGGTGTGGTGGTGGTGATGGTGGTGGTTAGTGGTAGTGGTGGTGGTGTGGTGGTGGTGGTAGTAGTATTGGTAGTGGTGGTGGTGGTAGTGTGGCGTAGTGGTGGTGGTGTGGTGGTGGTGTAGTGGTGGTAATGGTAGTGGTGGTGGTGGTGGTGGTGGGTGGTAGTGGTGGTGTCTGGTGATGGTGGTGCTAGTGGAAGTATTATTGGTAGTGGTGGTGGTGGTAGTAGTGTGGCGTCTGGTGGTGGTGTGATGTCTGGGTAGTGGTGGGTGGTGGTGGTGGTGGTGGTGGTGGTGTGGGTCTGGTGGTGGTGATGTCTGGTGGTAGTTGCTAGTGGTGTGATAGTTGTGGTGGTGGGTAGTATTGGTAGTGATGGTAGTGATGGTTGTGGTGGTGTGGTGGTAGTAGTTGGTGGTGGTGGTAGAGGTGTGATGTCTGGTGGTGGTGAGGTCTGGTGGTAGTGGTGTAGTGGTGGTAATGGTGATAGTGGTGGTAATGGGTGGTGGTGGTGGTGGTAGTAGTGTGGGCGTGTGGTGGTGATGTCTGGTGGTAGTGGTGCTTTAATTGGTAGGGGTGGTGGTGGGTGGTGGGTAGTGGTGATGGTGGGTGGTGGTAGTGGTGGTAATGGTGGTGGTGGTGGTGGTAGTGGTGGTGGTAGTGGTGGTGGTGGTGGTGGTATAGGGGGTGGTGGTGGTGGTGGTGGTGGTGGTATGGTGGGTGGTGGTGGTGGTGGTGGTGTGTAGTGGTGGTAGTGGTAGTGGTGGTGGTGGCAATGGTAATGGTGGTGGTGGTGGTGGTGGTAGTGGTGGTGGTGGTGCTGGTGGTGTGGTGATGGTGGGGTGGTGGTGGTGGTGATTGGTGGTGGTGGTGGTAATGGTTGGTGGTGGTGGTGGTGGTGGTGGTAGTGGCTGGTGGCTGATGGTGTGGTGGTGGGTGGAGTAATGGTAATAGTGGTGGTGGTGGTGGTGTGGTAATAGTGGTGGGTGGTGGTAGTGGTGGTGGTGGTAGTGGTGGTAGTGGTGTAATGGTAATAGTGGTGGTGGTGGTAATGGTTGGTGGTGGTTGGTTGGTTGGTGTGGTTGGCTGATTGGTTGGTGGTGAGTGGTGGTGGTGATGTGGTGGTGGTGATTGGTTGGTTGGTGGGAATTGGTTGAGTTGGTTGGTGGTGGTGGTTGGTTGGTGGTGTGGTTGGCTGGTGGTGGTGGGTAATGGTGGTGGTGGTTGGGATGGTAGTGGTGGTGGTGGTTGGCACAGTGGTGGATGGTATGGTGGTGGTGGTTGGTGTGGTGATGAGTGGTGGTGGTGGTGGTAGTGGTGCTAGTGGTGGTGGTGGTGGGTGGTAGTGGTGGTGGTAGTGGTGGTGGTGGTGTGCTGGTGGTTGGTTATGGTAATAGTGGTGGTGGTGGTAATGGTAGTGGTGGTGGTGGTGGTGGTGGTGGTATAGTGGTGCTAGTGGTGGTAATGGTAATAGTGGTGGTGGTGGTAATGGTAATAGTGGTGGTGGTGGTAGTGGTGGTGAACATCCAGTACCGGGTGAAGGGTCTTTTCAACATAAGACGACTCCAGGCAGGAACAAAGGTGTCGGCAGCTTCCATTACTGAACTTCAGTATGCAGATGACCTCACCCTTGTCGCTCACACTGAACGCAATCTACAGGAGATCCTGAACACCTACGCAGATGCTTATACACAGTTCAGCCTTGAGGTGAATGTACGTAATACTCAGATTCTCTCTCAGCCTGCCCCTGGTTCAGCCACACCTCCACCATCCACCCAGCTTAACGGTACTACCCTCTCTAATGTTACCCACTTCCAGTATCTCGGCTCCCACCTGTCCACCACCGCGGACATCGATGAAGAGATTCAACATCGGATCAGATGTTCATCTCAAGCCTTTGGTAGACTCTGTACCCGTGTCTTCAGCTGTAGGGAGCTGAGATTATCTACAAAGTTACACGTATATCGAGCAGTGGTCCTCCCCACCCTGCTGTAGGGCAGTGAGACATGGGTCACATACAGGAGGCACCTCAAGGCACTTGATAACTTTCACCAACGTAGTCTACGTTCCATCCTCCGAGTTCGCTGGGAAGACAAGAGAACAAATGCCAGTATTCTCGTTGACACCAACTGTAGGAGCATCGAGGCTACCATTGTCCATGAACAACTACGCTGGACTGGCCATGTTACCCTCACGGACGACAGTAGACTGCTAAAGTAGCTACTTTACAGTCACCTAACGAATAGTAAACGTAACGCTGGCGGGCAACTGAAGAGGTATAAGGATAGTCTTAAGACAAACCTGAAAAAGTGCCAAATCGACCCCCTCACCTGGGAGACGATTACTCCACACTGCAACGCTTGGAGGAGCACCACACGAGAAGGTGTCAATACTTTCGAGTTAGCCCGACTGTATACCGAGGCAGACAAGCGCCAACGCCGGAAAGTCGCTGCCGTCGCCCCTCCCGCACTAGATGTAGCCCCCCACACGTGCCACATCAGTGATCGACCCTGCCGGTCCCGTATCGGCCTCTTTAGTCACCTCAGAACTCACCAACGAAGGTGACATCCTTAATAACTCATATCATTGTATCATAGCTGGATGATCGTCATACTTGATTACCAGTGACAGTAGTAGTGTGTGTGTGTGTGTGTGTGTGTGTGTGTGTGTGTGTGTGTGTGTGTGTGTCCATCATTAAACTCACCATAATTATTAATAAGAGGAAGACGACAGGGGTTAATTGAGGTCAGGTGAGGTGAGTGACAACTGAAGACGGTCACTCATTCGGTCACTCACTCACTCGTTAATTTATGAGGTGTTATAGATAGATAGGCGTATCAGAAGAGTGAGGGATAGGGGTGAGGGATAGGAGTGAGGGATAGGAGTGAGACATAGTTCCCCCCTCACTCCATCCACCTGCTTTGACGTCTTAACCTAACCTAATGGTTGACTCTGCTGCTGCCATATGTGACCAAGTCCCAGGTTGATGATCTGACTTTCTGCCTCATTTACAACACAGGGTCTCAATTGTTTCCCTGACAACACAACACAACACAACACAGCACAGCACAACACAACACAACACAACACAGCACAGCACAGCACAGCACAACACAGAAGGGCACACACATATATATATATCGATTCTCATTATTATTATCATCATCATCATCATCATCATCACCCCCCCCCCCCCAAGGCCCTGATGCCCTTAATAATAGGTCAGGGTCCCGTGACGTCACAAGCGAGGCGTCTATTATAAACATTGTCCGAAGCCGAATAAAGAGATGAATTATTGACCAGAGTATTGGAACAAGTTAGCATTAGTGATCATAACTCTTATAAAAAATACTGTACAAGGAAGATCGTGTAATTATTGGACTGTTATAAGAATCATGTGGTATTAAATCGGCTTTTGTAGTTATATTAGAAATTATTATTAATTATTTAAGTTATTTGGGCTGCCAAAACGGCTGAGGGTCCGCCAGAGAGCTTCCCTGTTGACCGAGTCGAAGGCCTTGGTTAGGTCGATGGTCATGTACAGGTCACGACGCTGTTCTCTGCACTTTTCCTGTATCTGGCGGGCAGCAAAGATCAGGTCAGTGGTGCCATGTGATGGTCTAAAACCACATTGAGATTCTGGGAGGAAGATTTCCGCCTCAGGAAGAAGTCTGTTCAGGAGGACTCAGGCGATAATCTTGCCATCTACGGACAGCAGTGAGATCCTGCAGTAGTTGACACAGTCTGACCGGTCTCCCTTGTTCTAATAAATATTGACGATGGAGGCGTCTTTAAGAACTTGGGGGATTTCCTCCTCTCCCATATATTCTCCAGGAGAGAGTGGAGACGGCTGGTAAGCAGAGGTCCTCCTGCTTTATACACCTCGGCTGGGATTCCATCAGGACCTGAGGCTTTGTTATTTTTCATCTGTTTGATGGCAGTAGCTACCTCATCCAGGGATGGAGGATAGCTGAGGTGGGTCAGCTCTGGATGCTGAGGGACCTGCTGGGTAGTCAGGACATCCATATCAGTGTTTCGGTTAAGCAGTGAGTGGTAGTGCTCTTTCCAGCGCTGAAGGAGGCCTTTTTCGTCGTTAATTAGGGAGTTACCGTCAGATGGGTGGAGGGGAGCTGTGCCATGAGTGACTGGCCTATAACATGTTTTAGTGGACTTAAATCGCTCATCTTGTGTTGATCAGAGTTTTTGTGCTTCAATGACTTTATTTTTAAACCAGTCGTTCTTTATATTGGGAAGTTCCCTCTGGGCCGCCACTTTCTTCTTGTGGAAGGTATCAGCTTTGGTCAGAGACTGAGGGTTGCTCTGCCAGTCAGTTAAAGCAGCACGTTATCATCGATGAGTACATTGATTGCCGGGTCATTGTCATTAATCCAGTCCTGGTGTATTGTGTCGATCTGGCCGAGGGTCTCTGCAGGTTTTGTCATGAGTGTCGAGAATATCCCATTTGGTACTGGGATTTGCGTTGTTTGTTGTCGGGTTGTTTATCAGCCCGTGTTCGAGCTGCTCTCTGAAGGCATGTGCTACCGCTGGATCCTCCAGATGCTCAGTGTTAAAACCTCTTCTGGAGGCTTGTTGCCTTCGCTGTTTTGGGGCGACGTGAAGTGAGAACTTGGCTCTGATGAGATGATGATCAGTGCCGCTGTGGTCTAAGCCACGCATGGCTCGGGTGATGAGGACATCTCGGCGATCTCTTTCTCTGACAATGATGTAGTCAATGAGATGCCAGTGTTTGGATCGTGGGTGTTACCACGAACCCTTGAACTTGTCGGCCTGCCTAAACAAGGTATTGGTGATAGTGAGGTTGTGTGCAGCACACTTGGTGAGGAGGAGTAGGCCGTTGGGATTACACTTGCCTAGTCCATTTCTCCCTCTGGTTCCCTGCCAAATGTCAGCATCTCTGCCAACTCTGGCATTGAAGTCACCAAGGAGCACAACCTTGTCTTCTGGGGATAGAGGTTGGCACTCTGTCGAGGTCGGCGTAAAAGGCCTCCTTGATGTCATCCTCTGCATCCAGTGTTGGGGCGTATGCACTGATGAAGAAGGCATGACGAGAGATTCAGTGGGACTCGGAGCGTCACGAGGCGCTCGTTGATCCCAATAGGCATTTCAGTTAGCCTGTGTAGGATGCATTGGCGGATGGCAAAGCTAACACCATAAATGCTGTTTCTCTCTGCAGCAGACTTACTCTTCCAGAAGGTGTAGCCAGACCCCTGTTCTGTGGGTCGCCCCTCATCTGGGAGCCGGGACTCACTGATGTCATACCTCGCCAGCTCTTTTGCCACAAGGACAGTTCTTCTTTCAGGACGCTCATTTGTGCCAGTATCCAGAAAGTTCCTCACCTTCCATACAACGACCATAAGAGGTTGTATAGTTTGTTTTTGTTTGGATCTGTGATTGTGTTTTCAACCACAGAAGGATGACCATACTGGTTGCGGTTGCCCAGTCAGGTTGGTTCTTTAGGTAGACTATGTTTAGGGCACCTTTTCTAGCCCCCTCCTCATGTGGGGTGAGCAGAGTGCCTCCTGGAAAGGGCTGCTCAGTCACACAGACAGGACCGGATTGTACTGCTGCCTAGATCCCAGTGCACACACACACACACAGGTGAAGGGGGAAAGGGGGAGGGTGAGGGGGAGGAGGGAGGAGAGTGAGGACTGTCAGCGAGAGAGGAGAGGGAGGAGGGGAGGGCAGGTGATCAATGGCTGGTGTAGTAAGTCTTAAGACACAATTCATTCTCTTGACAGACACAGAGACGTCAACACTTCCTCCTAGTGTTGGAGACCAGACCATCTCCTAGTGTTGGAGACCAGACTCAGTGTTCTCTCTTAGTGTTGGAGACCAGACCATCTCTTAGTGTTGGAGACCAGGAAACCAGACCATCTCATAGTGTTGGAGACCAGGAGACCAGACCCTCTCTTAGTGTTGGAGACCAGACCATCTCTTAGTGTTGGAGACCAGGAAACCAGACCATCTCTTAGTGTTGGAGACCAGACCATCTCTTAGTGTTGGAGACCAGACCATCTCTTAGTGTTGGAGACCAGACCATCTCTTAGTGTTGGAGACCAGACCAGCTCTGTTGTAGTGTTGGAGACCAGACCATCTCCTAGTGTTGAGACCAGACCATCTCCTAGTGTTGGAGACCAGAACATCTCTAGTGTTGGAGACCAGACCATCTCCTAGTGTTGGAGACCAGACCATCTCTGACCATCTAGTGTTGGAGACCAGACCATCTCTTAGTGTTGGAGACCAGACCATCTCTTAGTGTTGGAGGCGTGTGAGGAGAGCAACACAGGTGGTGGTAGTAACACACCCCCTCCTACACCCCACACACCCCTCCTACACCCTACACCCCCTCCCTACACCACCCACACACCCCTCCCCTACACCCCTACACACCCCTCCTACACCTACACCCCTCCCTACACCCCACACACCCTCCCTACAACCCTCCCACCCCACAACCCTCCCCACCCCACACAACCCCTCCCCACCCACACACCCCTCCCCACCCCACACACCCTCCTACACCCCACACAACCCCTCCTACACCCCACACACCCCCTCCTACACCATGCAGGTACACTTACTAGGAATGAACGCAGTGTTATTTTGGTACAAGTTAGTGGGTGGACTGCCCTATACCTGGCCTGGTGGTCCGAATCTAAAAAACGACACCCTGGTCACTGTAGACACGATCAAGGACATCAAGAGGGATAAGCTGTGGATGGTTTGGACATTAGTGTTTGGATTCTTCATTGCAGCTTATTTTTCCTACGGTGGATTACAGATTATGGATATATTTGACGAATGTGCTACGACTTTTACGGTGATTTTGAAAGTTGAGGATTTTATTGGAATGATGACGACGATTTTATTAAGAATCCATATGATTGGTCAGGCTAAACGTTTGGCTGATGCTTGTTCACGGATGCATATACTCTGTAACACGCATGGTTTTAAGGGTAATCCGTATTATTCTGATAAGTATATTCTGACTGTGGCTGGGCATCATCTGATTGGCTTTATGTGTATATGTTATGGGAATGTTAGTATGGCCGTGGCAGAAGGAACAATCCATTACTTCAGAATCGCAAATTTGTTTGAGGCAACAGTGAAACCTTTGGTATTTAATTTGTCCATGATGATGTATTCTCATCTAATTAACCTTCAAGCTAAAATCTACAGTCAATTCCTCGATTATGTAGCTGAGGATGACGACCAAACATCACCAATACCACCTCAGATAGCAAACTGGACCACCTCACCTGCCAGAATGACCAGAGGGACGACCAGAGGGACGACTCGTGTCAACACCATCATCCAACTACCTCAAAACACCGCTACTTACCCGACATACACCATTAACACAGATAAAGCTAAAATCTTACTGTTTGACCTCTACGATTCACATCAATATATCAAAGGTTATTTCCAGTTCATGGTAGGACTTGGTCTTCTCCACTCTACCATTAGTTCCATCGTGAGCTGTTTCCTGGCTGCCATAGCTGAGAGGAAGACGTTCCCAGAATATGTAGCGACTGTCGGGCTATTGTTGATGACCCTCTTCCCACCATTTTTCTTAACTAATGTTCCTCGAGCGCTAAACATTCAGGTGAAATTAAACTAACCAGGTGTCTGTTCTAACCTAACTTAACCTAATCTAACATAGCTTAACCTAACTTAACCTAACATAATTTAAGTTAACATAGCTTAATCTAACTTAATCTAACATAATTTAAGTTAACATAGCTTAACCTAACATAATTTAAGTTAACATAGCTTAACCTAACCTAATCTAACATAATTTAAGTTAACATAGCTTAACCTAACCTAATCTAACATAATTTAAGTTAACATAGCTTAACCTAACTTAACCTAACATAATTTAAGTTAACATAGCTTAACCTAACCTAATCTAACATAATTTAAGTTAACATAGCTTAACCTAACATAATTTAAGTTAACACAGCTTAACCTAACCTAATTTAAGTTAACATAGCTTAACCTAACCTAATCTAACATAATTTAAGTTAACATAGCTTAACCTAACATAATTTAAGTTAACACAGCTTAACCTAACCTAATCTAACTTACGACACTAAATAATGCTACAACACTGAACAAAATAAACATTAATATATAAATTTTTAATGTTTATAATGGATGATTAGCATAAGGAACAATGTTTATATAATATCATGCCAGAAAAAATTTAAGACTATATATTGATGTTTATATATTTATCTTAAGTACCTCATGGCCACCCAGTAGAGGTGGCCATGGTGAGGTGGCCATGGTGAGGTGGCCATGGTGAGGGAGGGAGGCCAATATGACCCTCCCTACCGAGTTCCTGGTTGACTCCTGTACTAACACCCGAATGTCTAGTTAGGTTAGGTCAGGATAGGTTAGAGTAGGTCATGGTTAGAGTAGGTCAGGATAGGTTAGAGTAGGTCAGGATAGGTTAGAGTAGGTCAGGATAGGTTAGAGTAGGTCAGGATAGGTTAGAGTAGGTCAGGATTAGGTTAGAGTAGGTCAGGATGATGGGTTAGAGTAGGTCAGATAGGTTAGAGTAGGTCAGGATAGGTTAGAGTAGGTCAGTATAGGGTTAGAGTAGGTCAGGTTAGGTTAGAGTAGGTCAGGATAGGTTAGAGTAGGTCAGGATAGGTTAGGAGTAGGTCAGGATTAGGTTAAGTGGGTCAGGATAGGTTAGAGTAGGTCAGGATAGGTTAGAGTAGGTCAGGATAGGTTAGAGTAGGTCAGGATAGGTTAGAGTAGGTCAGGATGATGGGTTAGAGTAGGTCAGGATAGGTTAGGTAGGTCAGGATTAGGTTAGGTTACGTTAGGTGGCTTTTGTTTTGAGTATGGTGTTATAGTGAGTATGGTGTTATAGTAGTGGTATGGTGTTACAGTGAGTATGGTGTTATAGTGAGTATGGTGTTATAGTGAGTATGGTGTTATAGTGAGTATGGTGTTATAGTGAGTATGGTGTTATAGTGGTATGGTGTTATAGTGAGTATGGTGTTATAGTGAGTATGGTGTTATAGTGAGTATGGTGTTATAGTGAGTATGGTGTTATAGTGAGTATGGTGTTATAGTGAGTATGGTGTTATAGTGAGTATGGTGTTATAGTGAGTATGGTGTTATAGTGAGTATGGTGTTATAGTGAGTATGGTGTTATAGTGGTAGGGTGTTATAGTGAGTAAGTGTTATAGTGAGTATGGTGTTATAGTGAGTATGGTGTTATAGTGAGTATGGTGTTATAGTGAGTATGGTGTTATAGTGAGTATGGTGTTATAGTGAGTATTGTTATATGGTGTTATAATGTGTATTGTGTTATAATATGGTGTCATAGTATGGTGTCTCACACAGAGAGAAGAGCTCAGGGTGGTCA